CGCCGCGGGGTCCACCAGGGTCCACCAGGCCGTTAAATCCCCATCCACCTGCCATCCGCTCACAGGAGGGATCCGGAAGGTCTAACTCACCGAGTCCACATCTCGGCCGGTTCCACCCCCTTGCGAGGCCCCCATTTCCCGCTGCTGTCTCACGGAGCCGCCCGGAGTCGATCCGCCATCTTCGGGCATGCGCAGTAATAGAATAGAATGATGAGGTTATTGCTAGTTCAGTGAGTAAGGCCTGATTAAGCATATAATTATGGGAACACTGGCTTTGAGTCTGATTTTCAGTTTAATTGGTATATAGGTAGCCCTATACTTATGACTGTTTGTTTAACTGCTCACAGTTACAACGGTGTTGAAAAAAGTTACGATCGGTCATTCCAGCATCCCTGTGGTCACATGATCAAAATTCAGGCAGTTGACAACCGGGATGTATTTATAATGGTTTTAGCATCCTGGGGTCATGTGATCAACTACTTGCGATCTTCCCAGGGGACTCCCAGGGGGATGCCAGATTTGCTTAACAATCATGGCAAAAAGGATGGTAGAACCAAGAGCTACTCACTTAACAACTGCATTGCTTAGCCATGGAAGTTCTGGTCCCAGTTGTGGTTATAAGTTGAGAACTGTCTGCACACCAATTGCAGCATTTTAGATTTCAAGTATCTTGCATGTACCTGGCAGTACAATCTGATCTGTTGGCATGCAGAGTTCGTGAGAATTTTATTTCCAGCTCAGAAATCCATGTCTTTTGGACACAGAGGATACAGATGCTTGAAAAATTCTCCAAACAATTCCAAGTAATTTACTCATGCCTGAAAATCTTACTTATTTTGCAGAAAACAAACATTAATTCCAATACTGACAGGCAACTTTTATTAACAAGGATAGAAAAGACTATTCATGACTGGCTTATTATTAAACTATTATATATATATATAAAATCAGACAGTCTCACCTGTAACTAGAGATCCTCAGGAGTGGTGGGCATTTTCCTAACATTCCAGTCCTCATGGTTCTGAATAAAAGGCTGATTTAAGTCGATAAGGTAGCTGCTACATGCTGAGCCCTATCATTGATTTGTTTAGTTTTGGCTACATGAACTAACTTCAGTTTGATGGAGTCTCCCTTAGATTGAAGATAGTAAATCCTACTTGGAGAACGTATAGGTTTAAGGCAGTCTTGAGGATGCAGTGAAATATGCTTCCACCACCATCATGCTGAAAAGTTATAATCCAATTAATCTCTTCTAAAAGATCTGATGAAAATCAGCAACCAGTGGCTTCCGTTCCCATTTTCCAACCCAATCATTTACCAGCCCAAAGTTCAGTGACACAGTATTTTATGTTCCATTGTATGCTGAAAGGCCAGATTCAGTCACTGGCTTTGTCAGATAAGTTTAAAAAAACAACAATCAACCACTGCTCTATCAGCTACATGATCCCAAACTAATCCATTTTTTGGATCTGCCAAATACATACAACAATAAACTCAGTGGTCTGGATTTAAGAAGATGGACCAACCAAAAATAGCCAAAGCAAGGTTAACATCCATCAAGTTGAAAGTGAACACATTGCAGCAGATCTAGCTGACACTCAGACAAGAGTAGACCAGCTACAGCCCCACAATATTTTTACCCATAATTTACTCAACCCGATTTTTTGAGTTTGTATTATTATTATTATTATATTAATAATAGCGCTCCATGGCATTGGACCCGGATACCTTCGAGACCGCCTCCTGCCGCAGATTACCTCCCATCGACCTGTACGCTCCCACAGAGTGGGTCTCCTCGGGGTGCCGTCGGCCAGACAGTGCTGGCTGGTGACCCCAAGGGGGAGGGCCTTCTCTGTGGGAGCTCCCACCCTCTGGAATGAGCTGCCCCCAGAGATCAGGGTGATCCCTGATCTCCCTTCCTTCCGCCGCACCCTTAAGACTTGGTTATTCCAGCTTGCAGGACTGGCCTAGGGTAATTTTTAGAGGGGTTTTAATTATATTTTAATTGGACAATGTTTAAATATTTCTTTTAACTAATTTTAAATTTGTAATTGTTATTTATGTATTTTAATTGATTGTCAGCCGCCCTGAGTCCGCGAGGAGAAGGGCGGGATATAAATCCAAATATAATAATAATAATAATAATAATAATAATAATAATAATAATAATAATAATAATAATAATAATAATAATAATAATAAAAAAGTATGACACCATGGGACCATAAACTAAATTTGGGTGACACATGGAACCATAAACCAAGTTTGGACGACACACAGAACCATAAACCAAGGTAGAATGATACACAGAACCATTAACCGAGTTGGGATAATACATGGAACCATAAATTAAACCAGGTTGGGTCCAGACATACTCAACTATGGTACAATGGCCTAAATAGGGAACAAACCCGACATTACCACTCAGGATTGGGTGGCCAACCCATATAAGCCAAGTCGGCAGGACTCTGAACCCACCCAGACATTTAATGCAGAGCAGAAGTAGCAGTTTCGGTTTATCCCGCAAAGGCCGTTCTGCAGACGTCGCTCTCATCTAGGGGCCGACAGGGAGCGGTGGCACAACAGAAGCGAAGCCACTTCCTTCTCCAAACTCGCCTGAAATGCCTTTAAATATCCTTGTAAAGAAGTCCCCCCCCCTCACACACACACACACACCGCCATTCCCGATTGGCTGTTCCTTTCCTCCTCCAGAGAGCGGCCTGAGTGCCGCCAATCGATGGGTGGGCACCGGGCGCCGGGGGTCCCTGTCTGACAAGCGATCGGGGGCGGCGGGCTGAAGGAGGAGATGCTGCCGAGCCATCCAACTGCACGCGCACGCGCTCGCCGCTCTCCCCCCCCGCCCCCCAGCCTCACNTGCTTTGAAAAAAGACAGGACCAGGTTGATTCCCAAGAACTTTTTGTACCAGGGCATCCACAAGGGTGTGCATGAGTGTCAACAAGGAGGCTGGTGCAAGGTCACGACTGAAACTCTATTCCTGGCTGGGGGAATTCCAGGAATTAAAGTCCACCCATCTTAAAGTTGCAAAGGTTGGGAACCACTGTCCTAAGCATACACTTTCCAGACCCACTGCAGAACTAAACGTTAGGAGAAAGCACAACTCCATGATAGGGCTATATATTGTGGTGAGTCATGTTTTACTTGGTTTATTTGAGCAATCAACAATGGGTTGAACAGTTAGAGGAAGAAATAGAAAAAATACATAGTGGAATAATGTCTCCTGGAAAAGAGCAGAGCTACAGTAGTTGCTTGCTCTTGCCGCAATAGATAAGATCCAGCCCCCCTTTTTTTTAGCCCTTAGGAAAAACCTTAAATCCTGGCTATGCCAGCTAGCATGGGGTCCTGAAGGAGAAGCTGTTGGCTGGAGGTGGTTTTGGCACTAACAGAGAAGTAACCCCCCACTTCTCCCTTCTAAACCTTTGTTTTTCTGTTTGTTTTAATTTTTTTTATTTTAATCTGTTTCATAATGGTTGAATGTGTGTTTATCACTTTAAACCAGGGGTCTTCAAACTTGGCCCTTTTATGACTTGTGGAGTTCAACTCCCAGAATTCCTCAGCCAGGCACGCTGGCTGAGGAATTCTGGGAGTTGAAGTCCACAAATCATAAACGGGCCAAGTTTGAAGACCCCTGCTTTAAACTGTGAGATGGACAGCTAATAAGTCTGATAAATAAATAGTTAAGAGATTGACTAAGAAGCCGCTATATTCCATTAGCTTGACTTGTCATAGTCTTTTGCACTAATATACACCAGATTGATAAATCTACAAATTTGCTGCTTCAAGCAAAACCTGGGGGGAGTGTGTGTGTGTGTGTGGGGGGGGTGAACCGTTTTTTCAGGCAGCTTCAGAACAGTCCTGCCCTACAGCCATGAAGAGTAAAGGCTGCAGCTTCATACCATCCCAACTCAGGTCTCCTCTGGTTCCTTCCTCCTCATTCTTTTGTGAAACATTGATTTTTCCCTCCTTTGTTCCTCCTCTAAATTTAGCAAAATGGTACATTTCCGTGTTGACAACTAGTACTGGAGCCAGGCAGTGTGGGAAAGCTCAGGTCCTCTTCTCCATGCTTGGATGAAGCAACAACTGTACTGTCACATGATGAGGTTATTGCTAGTTCAGTGAGTAAGGCCTGATTAAGCATATAATTATGGGAACACTGGCTTTGAGTCTGATTTTCAGTTTAATTGGTATATAGGTAGCCCTATACTTATGACTGTTTGTTTAACTGCTCACAGTTACAACGGTGTTGAAAAAAGTTACGATCGGTCATTCCAGCATCCCTGTGGTCACATGATCAAAATTCAGGCAGTTGACAACCGGGATGTATTTATAATGGTTTTAGCATCCTGGGGTCATGTGATCAACTACTTGCGATCTTCCCAGGGGACTCCCAGGGGGATGCCAGATTTGCTTAACAATCATGGCAAAAAGGATGGTAGAACCAAGGGCTACTCACTTAACAACTGCATTGCTTAGCCATGGAAGTTCTGGTCCCAGTTGTGGTTATAAGTTGAGAACTGTCTGCACACCAATTGCAGCATTTTAGATTTCAAGTATCTTGCATGTACCTGGCAGTACAATCTGATCTGTTGGCATGCAGAGTTCGTGAGAATTTTATTTCCAGCTCAGAAATCCATGTCTTTTGGACAGAGGATACAGATGCTTAAAAAATTCTCCAAACAATTCCAAGTAATTTATTCATGCCTGAAAATCTTACTTATTTTGCAGAAAACAAACATTAATTCCAATACTGACAGGCAACTTTTATTAACAAGGATAGAAAAGACTATTCATGACTGGCTTATTATTAAACTATTATATATATATATAAAATCAGACAGTCTCACCTGTAACTAGAGATCCTCAGGAGTGGTGGGCATTTTCCTAACATTCCAGTCCTCATGGTTCTGAATAAAAGGCTGATTTAAGTCGATAAGGTAGCTGCTACATGCTGAGCCCTGTCATTGATTTGTTTAGTTTTGGCTACATGAACTAACTTCAGTTTGATGGAGTCTCCCTTAGATTGAAGATAGTAAATCCTACTTGGAGAACGTATAGGTTTAAGGCAGTCTTGAGGATGCAGTGAAATATGCTTCCACCACCATCATGCTGAAAAGTTATAATCCAATTAATCTCTTCTAAAAGATCTGATGAAAATCAGCAACCAGTGGCT